TCTGTTCAACTAAAATGGATTTTTCGTTTGTTTATGTTGGGTTCTTTGTTTAAAATGACTGTGTTTTTAATAGATATACTATTGTTTTTTGAGTTGCAATGGTGAAAAACATGGGACGGTTTTTTATTGTGTTCTGTCAATCTGGTTTCCAATTTTCTTCCTGTTTCTCCAATGTAGAATTCTGGACAGTTATTGCATGTTATTTTGTAAATGACTTTGGTATTGTGTGATTCTAAATAATTTATGTTTAGTAACGATTTTGATTTAGTTTACATTTGCTGTTATGTTAAACTTATATTAAAGTTTTTCTTCATTACCCATTCAAGCCGTCTCCAGCCATTAATAGTAAAATAGGTTTAGTTGGGTTAAACATACCCCAGGTATTCTGGCATACTTTCCTGTCCTGGTGTCACGGGTGGTTGATAAAAAAAAGTTAGAACAAGTTTAGTGAGGATAAGCTTACCCTAGGTACTCTGGCATACTTTCCTATCCTGGTCTCATGGGTGGTTGATAAAAAAAAGTTAGAACAAGTTTAACTGGGATGAACTTACCCTAGGTACTCTGGCATACTTTCCTATCCTGGTCTCATGGGTGGTTGATAAAAAAAGTTAGAACAAGTTTACTTGGGATAAACATACCCTAGGTACTCTAGCATACTTTCCTATCCTGGTCTCATGGGTGGTTGATAAAAAAAGTTAGAACAAGTTTACTTGGGATAAACATACCCAAGGTACTCTAGCATACTTTCCTATCCTGGTCTCATGGGTGGTTGATAAAAAAAGTTAGAACAAGTTTAGTTGGGATGAACTTACCCTAGGTACTCTAGCATACTTTACTGTCCTAATATCATGAGTGGTTGATAAAAAAAAAAGTTAGAGCAAGTTTACTTGGGATAAACTTACCCTAGGTACTCTAGCATACTTTCCTGTCCTGGTGTCACGTATGCTGGATATTTCCAAGAATTCGGTCTCCTAGAAAAATAAAATAAAAGTTAGTAAACTGTAATTTCAATCATGAATTAAATCTGTTTTTTTTTCCTCTATCTGTGTTTTAAATGTTATTAAACTACAAAAACAGAAACTGGTAGAAATCTCATAAGAATATTTGTACTTTCTTTTGGGGATGGGTGGTTAGCAATAAGATATTTTGTGATTTTTAGAAGACAAAAATTTTTGATTGTATTTTTTTCCGTAAGAATGACGGAACATCTTACCCAATGTAGAATGGATTAAACAGGGGGAGGGGGGTTGTACAGTTTCAAATGAGGCAGTTTAATGGTAAGCTATTGCTTTAATTAAGTAATAACTTCTACTAAATGAGTTGTTAAAAACTTCAATAAAATTACAGCTAATAATAATAATAATAATTATTACAGTCAATTAATAATGACAAGCGAACCATAAAAAGCCTGAAAATACCTGAAAATAATTTACATAAAAAGTCCTAAATTAGAACCAGTGGTCATTCCAAACTAGAAACGTTTTATTCTCAAATAAATAACGCATCAACATATGTTATTTCACTGCAGCTATAAGGGTTATAATAGACGACTTAATTATAGCTGTTTGAAGTTAAGAGTAGACGACATCAATAAAGGTATTAGGATTAGAGTAGACGATATCACTATACTCGTTAGAGGCTAAGAGCAGACAAAATAACAACAGTTGTCATGGTTAAGGGTAGACAACATAACTACAGTTGTCATGGTTAAGGGTAGACAACATAACTACAGTTGTCATGGTTAAGTGTAAAATACATAATTACAGTTATGGTTAAGAATATACAACATAACTACAGTTGTCATGGTTAAGTGTAGAACACATAATTACAGTTATGGTTAAGAATATACCAGATAAATACAGCTGTTACGGTTAAGAGTAGACGAAATAACTGTAGTTGTTATGTTTAAGACAAGACCGACATTAAAATCTATATAAGTTCAAAATTGACTATCCAAAGTTCTCTTCATTGTCAAATGCTTTGGGGGGGGGGGACGTTTTTTTAACACCTCTTGACACTGCCGTGCTTTAGTTTTACATTAATACCATCAGTATGGTGAAGAAGAATGCATTTCATAGCATTGCGTACACTAAAATAGCATTTAAAGTTCTTCGGGCACTTAAAGGCAGATACCAAGGTTTCGTTTTCTATTTTTCCCGTTTTTCGATATACTTTGGAATCTCTACATCAAATTTAGAACATTCTTGTCGCAAACGATAATAACGAAAATGATTACATTCAGGTATGGTCTAAACTGCACATTGTCGATCACAATGCACAAGATATTTACAGCATAAAACAAGGGTTTTCAAACTAATCGAATACATCAAATGTAATAAACATACAAAAACACAGAGCTGAAGTCTTTATGAACTCATAGATCACGTGAAATACGTTAATAATGAAGTGTTTCCACTTTTTCTTTACTATCAGAGGTAATGATGGAAAGACGAAAATATACAAAAGTTTTATATCAGTTAAGAAAGATTAAGCGTTTTTAAAATTACGTTAAAATGAACGAAAAACAAACATATAGCGAGGTATTCTGATCAATAGTGTTACACAGGATCAAAAACATACTTAATTACGTGTAAGACATCTAAGTTATGACACAAGAGCATACAGTACTTCTAGTTGTGTTCATTCCTTGACTTTAGATGTTTATTCACGTGTGCTAATAATGCACAATTAAGCACAAACATGAGAACCACATAAGTAATGCAGTGAAACAAAAAATCCCAGTAGAGTACTTACTACACTACATTGAACGCAAATATGCGAGATAAGAGTTAAAATCACTGCAGTTAGAATGGGCATGAATAAAAAATATACATCCTTATGTAACGCTATTATATCAAAAGCCAACATAATACAGCCAGGCCTGGCGTTTACGATAGACAACATAGAAGCCTCATGGAAAAATATATTCAAACTCTCTGTTTCGGATAGTAGATTTCTGTTTATTTACTTTTTTCGATGTTCGAATGTTTGATTTTTCTGTGCTGTTTTCAGTCATAAATCATAAAACACAGTCTGACAAATATACACAGTGGAAAAGATGGTGAAAACACTCAGAACGGTACTAGGGACGATACAAGGGGTGCACTGCATCAAGGAGGCCCCCAAAACTCAAAACCGTATTAGGGAAGATACATGGTGTTCACTGCATCAAGGCCCCCAAAATTATACGCATTATAGAATTAACTGTGTACTTTTTTTCAATATACTGCCTGTTTTACATTTCATATAAAGCTGAACTGAGATTTAAGAAACCCCATTATTATTTTCTACAACTAGGGCCACAAAAAACCTGGCGCTTGGCCTTAGACATTGACTGTTGCATCTTTGCTTAGGCTTACTTACATGAGAGGTAAGCCGAAGATGTGCAACACTCAGACTAACTTAATCATTCTGTATGTAACCCTGTGACGAGGCTTACAATAGTTATTTACATATAAAAAGATATTTGTAAACGTACATACTCTAGAAATGGTAAAACAATCACAAAGATAAATCGATGACTGTAATTCCATATATGGTACACACTAAGAACATCTATAACACTGATATTGAGTTTAAAAGGACCTGTGTACGTTACGAAGAGAAGTTAATACTTCCCACTCGTTATTATCGGGGAGTGCGTTAGCACTCTCTATGTAAGGATGGCACGGACACCCGTTTTAAAGCAATAAAAATGGCATATATAGTTTCTTCTCTACAGGTCATCAGAAGCTAGATATGAAGAGCTGCCTGACATAGTTGCTCTATCTACGATGTATATGCCGCTTTTCAGCTATCCAGAGCGTCCCAAGTCGAAAACCAGGGAATATCCAAAACAGAGATTTCTTATTTTCGTTCATCATCATCTTTATTCAACAGGCCTAGTACCTACCTGGTTCTAGTAGTAACTATAATTTAATCATCATTTGATTGAGCAAAACAGTCTTCACGATCTTTGACTACCTATTTTATTATTATTATATGCAAAATTTATAAAGCTTGATAATACACTCTATAACCTAGTAACCCACGTATACCATCTTATAAAAAAAAGTAAACAAACAAGTATAAGAAAAGAAATATCGCTAAATAAAAAAAGCTATGTAGGGCTGTCTACTGAATTTGAACCAAACAAGATAGGGATGGAACTGGATACATCACTTAATCGGCTAATGATCACATAGCAGACTAAGCCGTCTCGATTTTACATGGAGAAATAATATAAAATCCCTACATTACTGGCTTCCTCATAAGTAATACAAATAGAACCAGAACTTCCAATGGTAAAATGTTACTGTATTGTAAAATAGTCATAAAAGTAGTATTCTAAAGTTAACTAAAGGAAAAGTATAATGATGAAAGCTGAGATTCTACACAAACAGCACGCTTTCAATAGACAAAGTGGTGAAGCCTGTAATGTAGGGATTTTATTCTCCATTTAAAGTCGAGACAGCTTAGTCTAATATGTGATAATTAACCGATCATGTGATATGTCCACTTCCATTCCTATATTGTTTGGTTCAAGTTCAGTAACAAGCCCTACATAGTTTTTTTTTACTTAACAATAATGTTTTTTCCTTATACGTGTACATAGGTGTAATGATCTGAAGTCAGTTGTTTTAACAGTTAAACAGATAAATTCTAAGTTTAACATCCTAATGCGAAGCACACTGCTCAAGCTGCAAGAGTTCTCTCGACTACATACTTGAATTTTAAGTAAATGAAACTGGAAACGACTCTCAGAAAGAAAACGGATTGTGATAAAGTATCAAAACATGGTGGCACCAAGAGGAAACCACGAAAACTCGACTGCAGCACCTTAAGGTGATCTAACTTACAACAGTAGTTAACTAACTATATTTCATCCCTATTTTACCTTTCCTTTTACATTGTTATACTTGTATTGTTGTCAACAATGGCACTGTGTCTGACTGACTTGTCTTATATACTTGCAGTGTTTTTTATTTGTTAATTATACGTTTTTCATTATTTTGATAAAGTTAAGCATAGTTTCCTATCTGATGAGGAAATCCTAAAAGAGCTTTATAGATCGTGGTTAAATGAAAATCCTTAATGCTTTGTGAACAGGCCTATTAAATTTGTGTATTTTCCTGATAATTATTCACATATAGAAAGTTTAACGGGCCTCTCACGAGCCAGTGAGAGACATTTTTGTTGAAAAACAAAAACAGGACAAAAAATTACCCAATCCAATTGTTTTTTTGTTTTTTTTTTGAACTGAAATTGTTTGGACATGTTTATTGGCTAATGAGAAGGCATTTCCCGCACTCTTTTAGCGTTGGGGCTGCAAAAAGTGATTTGAAGTGGTAAAGTGACTGAAATTCGTCAGCGCATCATGAGCTTAAAGGCCAAGTAGAAGAAGCATTGAAGTCTCCAAATGACACGCAAAGGTATTCAGAAACCGTTTAGAAACACCTTGATAGATATTATACAGCAAACCGAGTAAAATATCATGCCCGTAGCTGCTTTCAAAGTGTTCCTGTTTGTTCATCCTACTGCTGACTATCGTGATGCTTCGACCTTCCTTACCGAATCGCGGGTGAAATCGTTCGTATATCAATTGAAAGCTAAGCATAAAAAGGTGATAGAAGAAGCATAAAAGGTTGTAAATTGCTTAATTAATGATGCTGAGAATGTGGCTTTACTGATATATATATATATATATATATATACTGAATTTACTCTCAGCGTGTAGATCTTTACACTAACTAGTATGGAGACTTGAGGATCCTGTATTTCACTTAAAATTTATCAATTAACAAATGAAAACTTGTCTCAAAGTTTTCTCGAAAGGATACGCCCAAAACCTTCCTCTTTGGGAGTTTCCGGATTGAACTTACTTTTAATATTCAACAAATTATAGTGCAAAAACACCCACTGGCTTCTGAGGGACGTGTTAAAACAAGTTATCGAAGACTAAGGTGGAAAGGAAAATAAGACTGGGTTTTTA